AGTTTAAACACCTCGTACTCGTACTCTCCAATCCCCGAGTCGTCATCTCTCCAGCCGGACCAGCGCAGGGTGATGCTCCCCTAGGTGTTATGAAGATGATATACAATTAATGGATGAAGACATTCATTGTAGAAGGGCTAAATTCCGGTTACATGTTGACAATGATACATTAACTTCCAGTACATGTACATTCGACTACATCTCGTTTTTAAGCAATAGTAAAAATGTAGGAGACTGTATGTATGATTAGTCAGTGTTGGTTTGTCGAAGGATATATGGAGTGTAGATTTATCTTTTCTGTTTAAATATCTGAAGAGGGGAAATTTACTTAACACATATCTGACAAAATGATTCTATCATTATCATACAAAGGGCAATCTACGCTGAATGTACTTCTGCTCTATCTAAACCACAATAAAACATTCAAATAAGAGCTTTGTTCCACGACAATTGTAGTACTCGTAGGTACAATGTTTAGAAATATGAACATCGTGGAAGATGATCTATTATAATTACTAATTGCTAATATCGAACAATTATAAAAAAACTAATATACTTTATGGATGATTAAAAGTAAAGACCCTATAACAACTAGCTATAGTAAACAGTACGATTGTAAATGTAACTCTATATGCTGCGTTAAGAATGTATAACATTGTATTGATTAGAGGAAAGCTTTATACAAATTGGCCAACATAATTAGGTATTGCATGAACAGGGCATGATAAAACACATATTTACTTACTAGCCTTTTAAGATAAAGCTGTGATTGGGTAGAGAATATTAGAATATAATGGACTGATATAATCCATGCAAATGAGACTCTTATTTACGAAATCATTTAGTAAAAATGTATAATTCGTCAACCGGAAGAGTAAGATCATCTGGCGAAGGTCAGGGAACTGTTGTTAAAAGTTTATTCATTCAGATAAATCATGAAGTACAATTCTTTCTCGACATCTTGATTCACGAAAGAAATAAAATTCACTATGTTGAATGCAATATGAGTGGTGGTTTCAAGCATATTAAAACGAGTAAAACACCATCAACATACGTTTTTGGTAATTGCTTGGCCCCTCTCCAACATAACATCGGTACAGTTTCCTCTAGCTGAACAGTGGTACGGATCGTGGAAGTCAAACGTGAAATGCGCGCTGTGAGAGACTTCCCGTCCGATGCAGTAGTGGGTGCGGATCCTGGTGGTCCAACTGTAGTCGTAGTTATTAAGTTTGACATACCCACCGTTCGTCGCTTTTGTTGTAAAGTACACCCTATACAACGAAGAAACACACAATGTTACACATCATACATATATGTTAACCTTGACATTGATTTTATTACATGAATACGTATTGTACACATAATGAACTTTATTGCTCGACAGTTGTACACGGTACAATGTATGGCATCAATAACAATGTGATATAATTGTTTATTTGCAAAATCATGCCCGAAGGCTAATTGCGTGTACAGTCAATTATACAGAAACAGGAGACAGGTAACAATCTGTCTGGAAAAACCTCATAATGATGGTCTTTCTCTCTCTTTTTTATTGCGATATCGATAAAACAAGCAGTCGGCATTTTAAAAACTATCACTACATGGCCTACGTACCTGTCCCCATGTTGTGGTTCCTCTGGAATCATGGCGTTCTCAGTACAATCTTGCATGGCTGTGTTCGGTGAATCACGGTTAGTGCTCTTGCACGTCAAGGTCCCCGTCTGAATAGTTGCATTGCCTAACAGTTCAATGGTACGTGGAAAAGTGGTAAACATCATTCCTGCTAAAATGGCCAAACACGATCTAAGCATCAATCACAAACATAATTTTGAAAAAATCCTAAATACATGTATAATGATGTTTTAATAAAATCTTTGTTTGATAGAAAACCGTAATAATAATATAACGAATCAGCAGTTGACGTTATCCACACGTTTATACTATACCTCTCTCCATTCGCCAATCCACCGAAGCCGCGATCACCCCTATACTGTACCTATTGATGTAGTACTGAGTAGACGGCATCGATGGTTGGAACGAAGTCTCCCATTCGGCCTAGTTTACAACACAGTATTGCATTTCAACTGAAATATTGAAACTTTTAAAACTACAAAAATAATTTTGGTTGGGTTGGCCGGCGTAACGACAGAGCGTTCGCCTCGGAACCGGTTCGCATCCTGCCTTGCCACCGATCTATTGTCCCATCATGCGTTTGTCGTCTGCGTTGGTAGAAGCATAAAGTAAGTTGAAGAAGCTTGAGTGTGTCGTCTTTATGTTTTCTTACACGTTGGAGTAAAAAAAAACCCTGATAATAAAAAAAAGTTGAAATTAAAAAGCTTACTATAGGTCTATAAAAGTACTTGAATTCTGAATTACAGAAGCAATCTCGTCCACGTACAGCCCCAAATTGTACGACCCGAAAGTTGGTGATTAATTCTAATTTAAGCGTCCTTGTAATATTAGATGCTTCCTAACATGGGAAGAGTGTATTTTCATGTGAGCTTGAGAATGTATTTGACTACTCTCATGCACTGTCTTTAAACAGTTCACAATTATGAAGGAAACCTGATCTTCAGAATTCATTTAAATTAGGATACCTCAAACTGCATAGTCGATGCTGTAAGCCTAATGTTCGTCCAGGATGTGGATGTAGCTGTCGCAGTCCTGCAGTCAGCCTCTACTGTGTCCTTTTCCGTTCCGTTCTCAACTCGTTTTATTTTCCCCAGGCAATATTGCATGGTAGGTGGGGCACTAACTACAGAATTAAACATATTCATGAAAATTGGTAAACTGCAATAATGGTAATCTTCTTTTTTCATAAAATACATCCTGTCATGTTGACGATCAGCTTTGCTAGATAAAATTAAAGGTAAACTGACATTATGCAAGATCTTGTTTACAGAAGACAATACTGGTACAGGAGGTAAAGGGCCCTTAACAGTGAGAATCAAAAGAAGTCGAATTGCGCACAGAACCAGACAGAATAACGAATTGTTAAAATCGTGCAACTCTAGTCATATCCACAACCCTAGTCAAAACCCTAGTCCCTTCACACTTGGGGCGGACAGAGGCAGAATTGAACGTCATTATAACTTTTGCATGCAAACCTGTGGCCTAATCCAAGTACAAAAGTGGTGTATTCCAAATATCAGGGCTAGTTGGCTTCTCTCTCGAATGTGATCATAATGTTTTGAACGCTGTTGTAATGCTTAGGAATATTTAGAATGCTGCCAATACTCCAGTTAGAATAAACTCCAATCAATGTCTGTAAGCGTTAAAAGAGACAATGCTTCACTTACGTCGATGAAGGTTAGACATCCAGGTAACAATGATATGCCAAAAAACAGTTACTCAAGCAACTGGATATGATTTTGAAAACGTCAGACGTTTCAGCTAGTATCCACTAGCTTTCGTCAGTGACTGAGAGACCAGAGGGGAGGACAGGTTTATATACACAACCTGTTGATTGATACACAACATTGCCAACCTAGTGCCAACGGCTACTCCTCAGCTATTTTTCCTACCACCTACAACACAACCAGGGTCACTCTTTC